TGCAGCCACTGTGTAACCACAGAGGAAAAAGGAAGGAAATCAGAGTGGGAAGTCAACCATGGAGCCCACTTCATGTGTTTACTTTCAGATACTGCAACACGTAATTTACTCAGGGCTTCTTAAGAGAGTCTACAGACGTTTGCCTGTAAGAGTGATCTCTCTCCCCTCTCTCTCTCTCTGCATGGCATTGGGATGTGATCCTATCTGAGCAGCATCTAAGCTCTTGACTTCCAATAATCACTATAGGACACCCTCTCTACACTAGCTCTGCTTCAGCCACTCCCTCTGTTTAAAGAGATAACTTTAAAAAATCCCAGTCAAAATTCCAACAGCATGTCTCACAGAATAGAGAAAACAACCCTAAAATTCATTTGGAACCAGAAGAGACCTAGAATAGCAAAAGCATTTCTAGGCAACAAAGGCAAGGAAGGGGGAGTCACAATCGCCAATTTGAAATCACACTGCAAAGCTACTGTGATTAAAAACAGCATGGTACTGACAAAAAAACAAACCCAAGAATCAGTGGAACAGATTAGAAGATGCAAAAACTACTAAAGACATATTCAGCCACCTTATCTTTGGCAAAGGAGCCAAACACCTTCACTGGAGGAAGGACAACCTCTTTCATAATTGATACTGGATAAATTGGGATTCAACTTGGCAAAGAATAAAACTAGACCCATTATCTTTCACAATGCATAAACTAAAATTGAAATGGATCAAAGATCTAAATATTAAAACATAAATACTTAGTATACTGGAAGATAAATCAGATAGACAATGTCTTGAAGACATTGGTGTAGACAAAGACTTTATAAACAAAACCTCTGTAGGGCCGGGGATTTAGCTCAGTGGTGCCACTGCCTGCTTCACAAGCTCAAGGTCCTGAATTCAATCCCTGGTACAAAAAAAAAAAAGAAATCACAGGAACTATCAAAAAGAACAGTGGGATCTCATCTTATTAAAAAGCTTTTGCACAGCAAGAGAGACCACCAATGGAGTGAAGAGACAACTCACAATGTGGAAAACAATTTTTGCTGGCTATTCATCAGGTAAGGATTATCTAGAATATATAAAGAACCCAAAAAAATCAGACCCCCCCAATTTAAAGACCCAATCCATAAATGGGAATCTGAAATGAATAGATACTTCTCAGATAAAGAAGTAGAACCAGCAAATAAATAATATGAAAAAATGTTCAACATCACTATTCATTGGAGAGATGCAAATGAAAACAACTCTAAGTTTCCATCTCACATTTGAAAGTAATGGCTCGTATAAAGAAATCAACCAATAACAAATTCTGGTGGAGCTGTGGGAAAAAAGAACCCTTCTTCATTGTTGGTGGGAGTGCAGACTGGTGCAACCTCTCTGGAAATCAGTATGGAGATTCCTCAAAAAAATAAAACTAGAGATTTCATTTGACGTAACTATTCCCCTTCTTGGTATCTTCCCAAAAGAAAAGCATAGTACCACAGTGATATATGCACACCTATGTTTATGGTGGCACAGTTTGTAATAGCTAAATCTTGGAAACAGCCCAAATTCCCATCAGTCAGCTAGTGGATTAAAAATATGTCATTTTTTATAAAATGGAGGACTACTCAGCCATAAAGAAAGATAAACTTGAGACATTTATAGCTAAATGGATGTTCCTTGAGACCATACTCCGTAAGTGAAACAAATTGGACACACGTGTAAATACCGCATTGTTTCTCTAGTGTGAGAAACTGAAAACAAATGAGGACCAAAATGTATAATAGATATTGTGAAACAGGAAGAAAACGTTCAAATGGGTCAGGGAACCAGGGTGGTAATGGGGAAAAGGAAAGAAGGGAAAGGGAAAAAAATGAAAAGAGAAGGAAGAAATGGAAACAAAGCTTTTGTAAGTAAGGAGGGGTGAAGGGGTTGAAGGGAAGGAAGGGGAATTGGAAAAAATAACAAGATATATCATGTACAGGTACAAATTCCCTATGATAAATGTGATCATTATGTATACCTAAAATGTACCAATAAACTTAATTTTTTTTAAAAAGTATGAAATTGTTTATCTCAGCATAAGATTTTGGGATTACTAATTAAGCACAAATAACATTTTTCTTGGACTTGAACTAAAAAAAATTCAGTAACTTCATACAGTTAGTCATTCTGGCACTGTTAAGTTCATTTTGAGCAGCGGGAGAACTTACATACTATAACTGGCTTGTCAAGTATGTGGTGGGAGGATATTGGGCATGAGGGCACCAAAGGAGAGTAATGAAGGCATCTTTGTTGAAGGAGAGAAGGCGTGAGAGAAAGCATGTTGGTCTGAAATTTGAAGGGGAGAAATAGGTTGGTTAGGCAGTGGTTTTTCTGATGAATTTGTGTCAGAGCATTTGGGAATCTTGTTTGTATAAGCCACATCTCCTTCAGTGCTGCAGTTGACCAGCTTAGTGTAGTGGGCACCTCTTGACTGAAACCTCCATCCCCTGCTGCAGTGCTGAAGTCTCCTGCAGTCCCCCTTCCCTGCCCCGCCTCCTCTGAAAAACTGACTTCAGACAGGAATCCTTAATTCCATTTTAATAGTAAGGTAGCTGCTGACACTTACAGGACTGTGAATTTTTGTTTCCTGAGCACTGAGTCCATTTGTACTGAACTAACATCAATATTTGAGTTTGTTTTGTTAGACCATGATTTGCACAGTTTTACACTATGTGATTTCTTTCCAAGTATTAAATGTAATGATTTACTGAATCTGTCTCCCCTGAATATATTGTGGAGCATTTTTTGTCTGTATTCGACATAGCTCTTTTTAAAAAATAATTTAGTTATATATCAAAAAAGGTTAGTTTTCTTTTTGTCCAAGGGAAAAACAGCATTTTAATGTTGTGTCGACTGAGTAAGCAGATAACACACTTGAAGGAAGAATTGGACAGAGTGCCTGTGTTGTGTATGCTGTGTGTTCCCAAGCCAAGAAATGGGGTGGAGGGAGTTGATATTCACTTTAGGCCTGTCTGCAGGTCTGTTTGTCTTCCTAATCTTAGTAGGCAAGTTATACAGATAGGTAATTTGTAAGCCAGATCCGAAAATGGTTTGGAAAGTGTACAATGTTTACTTTATCAGTTCCTTTGTTTTGACCTTAGATTCCTTACATTCTTTTTATTTAAACCCTAAGTTTGTAGGGTAGAGCATGTCTTTCCTCTTGATGAGTTACAGTTGATGTACTTTAATTCATTTTTAGGGAGGAAAAAGCTTCACTTAAGTGATAAGGTGTTAGGAAACAACTATATTAAGAGAATTTTCTACTGTATAGATTTTTTTCCCATTTACAAGCTGCAATAACCATTACTTTGTAATTATGTTTCCATTCACTCTTTCATAGGTATGGTTTACTTGAGCATTTCGTTTCACTGGGTATTTTAAAAATAATATCAATAAAATTGTTTCAGTTAACACTTACAGCTGTGTGGAAACCACAGATATACATTAGAAAGATAGCATTCCTTCCTTAGTTATTTCATTAGAACATATTTAATAACCTTACAGTGTGGTAAATAATATTCATAGCTGCATCATACTGATAAGACTTAATGCTTATTCTGGGAGTTTAAGTCAATACTGCAGGATTTTACTGAACTTAAAATATTTAAATGTCACTTTTATCACCTGAGTTCACGCTGATGATTTCTCATTGTGACTGTGCTTTTCCTCCAGTTAAATATATACCTGTCAGCGTCCTGTGCAGTAATGTGATTCTGTGGGCACATGTAGTGTACCCACTCTGTCAGTAAGTACATTAGCAGTCCGAGGAGTTTGGATTTTTTTCTGAAGGAATTAGCCATTGGATGTCTAAGCAGGAGTATGGAATCGATTTGTATTTGAAAAAGATTTTACTGTAGCTATAATGTGCAAAGTTGATGTGAAAGGAACAAGGCAGAATGGTGAGGCTGTGAGATCAGTTAGCAAATTTCATACCTAGGTACCCAGTGCTCAAAGTAGCTTAACTTTAAGAATGCATATCAGCATTAAAATGGGTGAATAAATCACAGTACATTCATACAAATACAACCCTCTCCTGCACTGAGAAAGAATGAACTATTGCTGTGCACAGCACATGGACAAAGTTCAGCAAAATTATTAAACCAACAAAACTGGACACCATTATACAATAGAGTCCAGTTATATAGAGTTCAAAAGCAGGCAAGACTAGTCTGTATGATAGACCAGAATAGTGGTTGCCGCAGGGGTGGCAGTTGGGACTAGGAGTGGATTCTTCTAGACCTCGGAAGTGATTACATGGGTATGTTCAACTTGTGAAAATTGATCACACTTAAAAAGTCTTAATTTCACAGTAACGTATGTAGATTAAAATTATTTAAATCCCATTTACTCATCTGCTAGGCATACATCCTATTCTAATGCTATTCCCAATCCATTCCTGTGTAAATAGTCACTTATTTAGACAGCTATTTGTGCCCATACCTTGTAACTCAGTAAAGTAGGACAGAGATTTTATTTTAGTAGCTGGTAGCATAAGCTTTGGCCACATTTCTTAGCCCATTTCTTTCCATGGGGTGATATTTCTCCTCCAGGCAACTTTGCCAGAGCTTGAGCTTTGCTCTCTACTTGAAAATGTAGGACTTGATGAGATCCTAACATACTGTGGGTATATTAATGAAATGGAAATGTATATTCTTAAACAGAGAAATCGATAGGTTTCCCCCTTTGTAAAAGCAGTTAAATTTGGAAAGTGTATTGGGGTTTTAAACAGTTAGTTGATGCAGAAGCCATACCTTACATTGAGTAACTCGTATTGTTCATGTACTCTAGGTTAGGTGTGTGCTTTCTTCATTCAGTCTGACTGCTCACAAACAAGACCCATCCATCTTCACCTAGTACTGCGGTTTCCATCAAGGCAGGAACTAGATGTAGCTCAATTCTATAAATAGGCAGTTGTCTCTATGAATAGGCAGTTGTCAGAGTACCACTTCATTCGGCATCACCAATGATAATAACAATACCTGTCAGATTCCTTGAACTCAGATTTCACAGTGCATATCTCAAACTTTGCATCTCTTTTCTCTAGTAATACTGAATGCCCATAAGTCAATGTAGCATTGTTTAGCTTGGAAGTCCCAGACTCTCCTAACTGTAGAGCAGCAAACTGTAGGTCTTTAAAGAGAATAACAACTAAATAATTAGTCTATCAACACTTAATTAAAATGGAAAATACCTATTTCATTAAAATATCACCAAAGGATACACTTAGTTTTTAATTTCAGTCTAGAGATTTAAATATTTAATGACTTCGATTTTCCTCAGAAAACAAATAGGATAAGCAAAATTATTCTTGACCCTTAAAGATGAAAGGAAAACGTACTTCTTTTTCAAACTGTTTCAATGAATGCTTTTTTAAATTGTGTCAGTAAACTGAAATAATTCCAATTTAACAAAGATTCTTAGGGATCATGAGAGGCTAGTTTTGCTAAGTATAATTTCTAGCTTTCATGTTATTGAGATATTTAGTTCTTTCTCAACTGAATAAATATAATAATGAAATTTTAAGAAACATTAAAACTGTTCTCTGTTCTTCTCATTAAGTCTTAAAATTTAACTGGGTAAAGTTTTATAGTCTAGCAACAACTTTGACCCAGCAGTCACGGGCTCATAGTTTCTTCATTTATGTATATTTGCTTTATGATTATTTCCTCACAAAATTATTTTATTTTGCCTTTGAAATATTTATGTACCAATATAGCTTAGAAATACAAACCTTCTCTTTGCTAAATTATAAAGATTTTGTTTTTTTCTTGAATTACAACTATTACATAAAATCTGTATTTCTACTCAAAACTTTAACAGGTCAAAATTTACCCAAATTGTTAATTTAGGAATAAGTGTCATCCTTTATTTGGTCTGCAAACTACCGTGCTCCCAAAAGGTTTTTGATCCTGTTCCATGAATGTTTTTAACACCTCTGGGTGTGGAGAAGTCTCATTTCCAAGTCATGGATATGCATTTAACATTGCACATGGTTTAGGAGAATAGAATTGTCAGTAATCTGTCTAGAGATGAGCTTTGAAATAAACTTAACTGAAGGTTGAGAATTTTTTAGCACTAAATTTGATGCTGAATAGAAAACTAAAGTTTTGTTTATTTAAACATTTGTTTTAAGGAAAAAATGTTAGAGATGATTATTCTTATGAAAATAAATTTATATTATAGCATGCTTTATACTAACCATAGTAGAAATTTTTAAATATGGATTTTTTTTTCTAATGTCTGTTTAAAATTTGTGAGTTTGTTGACTATTCTTCATTGCCTGATATAATAACCTAAAATGATTTTATTTTAGATTCTATTGTTGTTTCCAGAAATTCTCATTGTTGTTGATTTTCCCTTCTGTATAAAAGTTTATAAATTTTAAAAGTTAGAATTTTTATTCCTACACAAAAAAATGCTTTTTTAATTCATACACATGCCATAAACCCTGCACTGTACACTTTAAAAAGACAAGACATGCTGTTTCCATTAATCGACATTGCATTGACAAAGGGTTATTTAACAGAGTAAATTCAAATTGTTTGAACTCACAAAAAGTGTAAGAACTCTCTTAGAATTGCTTTTTTGTTTAAGGCAGGAGGGCAAATAATCATCTATGTTCAAACATCTTATTTAGGATTCCAGAAGTAAGCCTGATTATAATTTTCCCAAATTAGAAAATGTATTGGCCCTGAAAAACAAACCTGATCATCAGACGCTCATTCTGAGGTATGTTTATTGTAATTAAAACTTTAGTTTGTTAGCATCGTGTAGTTAGTTTGTTTCTTTTGTTTCTTCTAGAATGGCACATTTGTACATACTGTTTATTGATAACAAATTTCCAAGAAATCATAGGTGCAGTTTTTTAGGGTAGTTTGGGACATTTTAAAAGCACATGTTTGAGTCCAGGGTGGTGGTAGATGGCCGTCAATACCAGCAGAAAGGGCTGGGGATTTAGCTCAGTGGAATGGCCCTGAGTCCAATCTCTACTACTTCCGAGCAATAATAATGAAAGCATATATTTAGGTTCTTTAATCCTTATGGAGAAGGCTGGCTTATCTGTTCTTTATTTTCTTTATTCAACTAAATTTCAAATGTGTATCTAAACTACTAGATTTAAGACCTTAAAAAGTTAGTTTAGCTGTATGAGAATCACTTTTCTTACCTTTAAAAAGAGGTTAATGTTGTGTAGCTCAGTAAATTATGAGGGATAAATGAGACTCAGTACACTGTTCCTGGATTACAGTAAGCACAGATGCCAATTATGATAATTGCTATAATTGCAGAATAGTCACTTGAGTATTTAATATTTTGACAGTGATAAATCAGTGGATGTATTTGAATGTTGTCACCTGAGGATGATGAACAGTAAAGAAAAGAACATGGGCTTATTTGATTTAATAATTAATATACACAGATTGGTTAGACTTACAAATTTTAAAAACATGCCATCGAAGAAGAAATCTTATGATTTAAGCATATCTAAAAAAAATTATAGAACCTATCTTCAGAAGAGTTGGATTAACAGAAGACTTTTCACATGGAGAAAGAAATACAAGACTGTGAAATTTTTTCACCTGTTCTGTATTGGCCCTGACAACACTTAAAATTGTGTATCCAGCACTACTTCTAGCTTCCTCAAAGATGCATTAAAGGGCTAGCATATGTTTGTTATTGTATATAGAGAACATATTTTTCAAAAGGCTGTAGGCGGGGTGGAAAAAAAAAAAAAAAAGGCTGTAGTTTGTATCCTACAGTTCAGCAGGATATTTTATAGGCATTATGTCCCTTTTCCATAACCCTTCCCATTCCCAACTGGTAAGTTTAACAGTCTAGCCAGTTTCTCTGCTGTGGGATATCAGCAGCCTTATCTTGCTGTGCAGTATCTCCTAGAATATTAAAATTGGTCATAAGCTACCTGTGTGCGTGCTTCTAGTGTCCTAGTAATGGTGTTTGCTTGACAGCTTAATAGCTGCCAACACAAAGAAGATTATAGTCTTCTAAAATACACAGACACTTGTCATTATTCACAGGACTTATGTTCTATAAAGTCAGCAGGAATACTCAATAGAGAATATTGAACTATTTTTCCTACAGAAAATAGTTTCCTATGAGCCTCTGGTTACATTTTTGTGAACCAATTAATATATAACTTTATGTTACTTGTTTTTCTGTTTAAAGACATTTAATGTAAATTGTGAATACATTAACTTTAAACTCACGGCTGGCAACATTATAACACATGCTTGGAAGAAGTTCATCTAGTATCTTTTTCTCTTATCATCATATCTTAGCCTTCTTGCTGCAGAAACACAAGACAGTGCTTCAGCCTATATTTAGCGATCGTTCTAAACTGTGAAATCACCGGCCAAAAGTGCAAAGGAACATGGCGATACACAGACTGATAAAAGGGCATTTAATGACAGTATGAGAGCTAGAAATGGAAAGGCAGAGTGGTACCCAGGTCAGCCTCAGCTGGGAATGTGGCTCAGCTCAGGCTTTTATTGTTCTGAATATACCCTTGAATAACCACGAAAGCTCCAGTACTGATTTCTGAGATTACAAATAAATTTTAGTAAGCAGGCAGATTCACCAATATGGCACCTGCTAATAATGTGATCTGACTGGAATTCCTTACTGAAGCACTGATCTCATGTGAGTCTCTCCACAAATGCAGGTGCTCAGTTCCATTCCACTTTTACAGTGATAAGTGCTTAGCTAAAGAATGCTTATAACCCGGTAGCATGTTACTGAACAAAAATTACTAAAATATAGAAGCTTCATAAGCCAATTAATACCTTTACAGGACACCCTTGTTCTGTCTGCATCACTGTTTCCATGGGAAAGTTTATTCCAAATTCCAACTGGAATGCCCACATCCTTTGCTTCTGGGGTTCTCTGTCCTAGTGATGAGCGGTCCACCACATTCACCTGCAGTGTATGACTTCCGCTTTCCCTCCAGCTGAGTTTCTGGGGGTGGTGCAGAGCTGTAGGAATTTGGCTGGGGAGGGTATGATGGAAAATTAGGGTTGCAGCTCCTGCAGTTGAGTACCAGGGGCTTTTGCTGGGAAAATGGGGATGTGGATTCTTTCATGAATTAACACTGGTCTTTGGAGCATCTCGGAATGATTGTCAATGCAGTCCAAAGTCCAACAAAAGCTATCTTCTCCAGAAATGATGCTTTTAGAAATAAGGCTTGGGCAGGCAGGTTTTTTGATCTGCTTCGTGAAGGCTTTTCCTATCTGTGTTAAGGTTCCAACTGGAAAAGACACAAAACAAAAATATAGACGCTGGTCTTCTCTGTGGAATGACCCATAGTAGGAAGTCTCTGGTCAATAATTTGAATATTTTGCACATTTATATTATGAAATAGTGTTATTTGTGCTCAGCGCTTTCATACAAGATTACTCTGTAATATTTAACAGATGTGTGTGTTTCATGTTCATTTGATTCATTTAATGGCTAAAAGGTTCAGTATGAAATAATGATAATTCAGGTAGGAAAATGTTACTAAATATAGTACTATGTTACTAAAATATATATATATAA